TCCTTGGTACATCCTGAACCTTGTGTTTAAAGAGTAGGTATGTATAAAATAATGGAGGCCGAATGAGAATATTTTCTCATACTTGCCCACATGGATATGCACGATAATTGAGCGAGGAAGGGGATTCTAAATTTTACTCAATTTAAAAGACTTTTTTATGGCTGATGTCATGTAATAATAATCCTAAGAGAGCTTAATAGTGAAGTAAGGTATTAAATGCCTGGTCAATGATACCATGCAGTTCAGTTGTAGATTTCAGTGCCAAGTCTTTGCATATCAAACTTGCAGTTTGCTGTATCAGTTTGTGTCCCGCTTTCAACTTAGGCACCTATAATACTGCCATTTAATACGATTTTAATTGGAACTAGAAATTGGTGATTTTATGGATCCGTTGTATTATTGTACTGCTGGGTATCTGGTGTCTTGAGTCTATAAATACTTTTGAGTGGGGTAACCATGTGGTTGCGCTTCTCGTTTTTTCAAATTTCTTATCACGATTCCAATATTTTTTATAAAATGAAAAGGTGTTCAAATCCTTTGGGTGTGATAATATTTTGTTCCTTTCATGAAACGTTAACTCTGACTTTATCCAAGGGAAGATGCTAAGCATATTATAATATGACTTTTCTGCTACTATATTCCCCTCATGCTCGTTAGGTTATGAAGACGTAATTGATATGACACAATCTTCTGCATACGTGTATGTTCAACTTCTGCTGCTATACTGAAAATTGAAAATTGTATGATATTAAATAGGACATAAAATAGGGCCTTATAGGATGAGGACATGGTGTGCATGCTTAAAATCTAATGATTTAGGAGAGTAAGGGTCTATGTGCCTTAAGAGAGAGAGAGAGAGAGAATGGAACATTTCGATGTGACCAGTGTTCCCTGTTTTTCAAAAATTCCCTAACCTCCTATTTATACAAGATTTATTACCGTTGTCCTTGAATAAGGTGTCTTGGAAGGTGATTGAAAACCAATTATGCCCCGGGTTTGCCATTCTCTAAACTCACTTAAAACAACGTGGACTTCAAGAGTGTTTATTCCTGCAATCATTACAAGAACTGGGGAGATTCAAAACCACGGAGGGTTTATCCCTGCAATCATACACAGATACAGAACGACAAAGAGGGATGAAGGTAAGGAGAAACAACAAATAATCCACCAAGCTTGGTCCCGATTTCTCTTCACAGGTGTGATACAAAACTAACCTTAAAACAACATGAACAGGACTCCCAAATGGGTACTGGAGAAAAATTAGCAAGATCCAAGTACCTGCATAAGGGGTTGTTTTTATGATGATACCTCAATAACAGGATTCATTCTTGTTAGAAATATTATATCTTTTATGTTTATCTTTTATCTTTCAGTTAATTTGTTATTATTTTTTATTTGTATTTTGGGCTTAGCCCATATTTCTATTCTATATAAATAGAGAACCTTATGTGTGTTTTAACACAAGGGAGATTAATCCTATATAAATAATTTTTACTATATTTAACATGGTATCAGAGCAGGTTTTCTTATCTCTTCGGGTGGTCTTTGCTGTCTGCCGGCAGTCGGCCGTCATGGCCGCCGGCAGCCCCTAAAAATTTCATAAGATTCATTTTCTCTTCTTCTTAAATCTCAGCACCCAGAATCAAAAGAGACAATCTCTTGGGAACCACTGCCGCCTCCTCTGAACCAGCCCCGCCTTTCTCGCAGGCCACCGTCACATTTCCGACCGGTGACCATTGGATCTGGACGTCCCTCTTCAAGCGCGCTAACCCCTAAACCTGGCGGTCGCCGTCTTTGTCTCGTCTGCATGCGCTGTCACGCGCCTCCACTCTCCGGAAATAGATCTCGAACGCGTGTTCATCACGCGCCGCCTTCTCAACGTAGGTATCAAACCTAGTCGTCTTCTTCTCGCCGCATGCTTCCGCATCTTCGGACCTCCTTCTTCTTTTTGCGTTTTTTTGTGCTTCGCCTCTGTAGCAGAGGGTTTCGCCTCTGTAGCAGAGGGTTTCGCCTCTGTAGCAGAGGGTTTCGCCTCTGTGCAAGAGGGTTTTTCGCTCTGTAGCATAGGGTTTCGCTCTGTAGCAGAGGGTTTCGCCTCGGTAGCATGAGGGTTTCGGCTCTGTATCAAGAGGGTTTCGCCTCTGTTAGCAGAGGGTTTCGCCTCTGTAGGGCAGGGGTTTTCGCCTCTTGTAAGCAGAGTGTTTCCCTTTCGCCTCCCTATATTTGCTGTTCTTGCCTTGTTTCTTTTCTTTTCTTACCTTTCTTATTGTATCTGCCCGTCACCAGATCTGCTGGTTTATTTCTCCTTCTCTCCGCTGCTCTCCTTCCTCCACTTCTCTGAAGTTGAAGTTGTTTATTGGCCTCCTTCTCCCGCTGCTCTCTCCTTATCCACTTCTGAAGTTGAAGTGTTATTTGCCTTCTTCTTTCTTTCTCCGCCTCTCCTTCATCCACTTTGAGTTGAAGTGTTTATTGCCTCCTTCCTCCACTGCTAGTTTGTTCATGAGATGTGATACCCATCCTGCTTGCCTCACACTCTTTGAAGACAAATCATCTAGTTCAAAATCAAGTTCAACACCAATTTATTTTCAAGCTTGGTTCATACAATTTTGTATGCCCAGCTTGAGGGGAGTGGTTAGAAATATTATTCTTTTATGTTTATCTTTTCTTTTAGTTAGTTTGTTATTTATTTTTTATTTTGTATTTTGGGGCTTAAGCCCATATTTCTATTCTACTATTATAAATAGATAACTTATTGTGTTTAACAACAAGGGGATAATCCTATATAATAATTTTTGTCACTATGGATTTAACATTCTCTCTGGTGTGGGGCATAAAAAGAAGAGTAGATTGAGCCGATAAATATTGTTTTTGTCAATTCATCCCAGTTTTTGAATACCCATCCGTGGGGGCAATATTGGTTTGTTGTGTGATCTGAATTGGGCTGCATTGATCTATTCCAGTTTCACGAGGAGTCAATAGAAATGGAAAATCTCATATGTTACACCCGATCTCGCTTGGTTATTGGTGGAATAAATAGATCCACAATTTCTTTTAATCTCATTTTTGGTTCAAAAAATCACGATGTAATGTATAACCTACTGTCCTGGTCATGGTTTTTATGAAATGAACTAAAATTAATTTTTGTTTAAGAAAGGAATCTTGTTATTATTGTTCAGCCACATTATTCAACCTAAACTTGAAACTCAGCTTTAAAACCAGGCGACATTTCACGTACCCTGAAAGCAAGCAGGTTTCGATGTACTATTTCATTTCTTTTCATGCGTGAACCTTTGCATCCTTACGTTATCTATAATAAAAGCACTAAATTCTATTACATTTATTTTAAGTCCACCTTTTGAACGGAATAGTTTATAACCCATCCTAAAACTGTTCTTCATTGCAGGTGGCAAACACATTGGCGGCTGTTCAGGTATGTTTCCTTGTTTTCTCGTCTTTTATATTATTGATTGTCTGAGTGGGGATATATCCACAGTTCAAATTGTCTTTTATATTCTTGATTGTCAAAGTGGACGCATCCTTATTTTTACATTCTTATTAATTACCACTCTGTTTTTATTGCAAAATATCTATAACTGCCAATGTATATTGTCTGCATATATGAACTTAGTATTCTGGAAGTTTCAAGAAGTTTAACACTACAGTTTAATTAAAATATAGAAGTGCAATTTCTTTGTTTTTTCCTTTTTTGTCCAACATTTGTTTTTAACTCATGCAGATACCCTGAAGCTGTACCGGAAAGGAGAACTTGAACCTTTGCTATCAGAAGCTAAAGCTAAAACTCCAGAGAGCTAAGCATCCAAGAGTAAACCTGATATGCCACTAATTTGTCATTTTGTTGGTCAATGCAGTTCTCTCAATGTTATGTTTGTCACAAATGTTGGTTGAAAGACATCGGAGCGCACTGATAGCTTAAACATTGACCTTTTTAGTCAGGCCCTTCTTGTTACAAATCTGCCGTTTAATGGTTTGCAGAACTAGAAGTTGCAACTTCTCAGTTAGGTGATGGTTCTACTCCGCCATTTTGTTTTACTGGACGCACTGGTCTCAAGCCAAAATGCAATTAAATTCGTAATACTATAAATAAGGAACAACGTAAACCTTTATTCGAAGGACATATCTAATCAATCAAGAAGGAAAATGCTCGTAATTTATAACCGGACCCCACCATTAAACCTCAAACTATAATGAGCATATTTTATGCATTGAATGAGATTGAAATGTGAAGTTGGATCCTCGAAATAAAATTATCAGTCTAATTCAATCATCCAAGCACAAGGAAGTTTACTAATATAATATATCGTATAGATACAAATCAGTTCATGCCTGCTTTCATGCTGTATTGGGTGGAATAATAGTGTCTCTCTTTTGCTTGTAATAACCAAACAACTCATGGTGACTTGGAAAGTTCGTTCTGATAGAGGGGTGCTCACTGAAGTTCCGAATCCAAGTAAACAAGCGAGGAAAATCATCAACTACCAACACCTTTACACCAACAATATCTTCAATGACTCCAAAGAACAAGGGTATCCATCCCAAGGTTATGTCCAAAACTCCAATTTCTTCACCACCAAAATACTTTTTGTCCCCAATGGTTTCTTCTAATACTTTAAGCACTTCTCTTACTTCCTTTGTTGCCTTCTGAAACTCTTCTCCAACAGCCACAAAGAATGACATAAACGAAGTACTCTGCAATTGGCGTTGCAACCATAGATATATAAATGAGAGAACAAGAGAGAATTAAAATCTCTACTGCTTAACAAACAGCCTTGTTACCTTTTCTTCAGCAAAACTCACCCAAAACCGTGCCACGGCCCTCTCATATGGGTCCTGTGGAAGCATGGGTGGCTGTGGCCATGTTTCCTCTATGTATTCAAGAATGACAGTGGATTCTGCAATTGGCTTTCCATCAACAACAAGGACAGGAACCTTTTTGTAAACTGGGTTATACTTCAGTAGCAAATCACTGAAATCAGGGTTGTGGAATTCTCCTTGTACATGCTCATACTTTATGCCCTTCAGTTCTAACGCCCATATGATCCTGTAAACGTATGAACTAGGCCAAACTCCCAGTAGCTTCAGTTCTCCCATTCTACGACTGTAACTGCACACTGCTACTGTGATTGTTAGAGAAGTTAAAATAGATTGGTTGCACAATTTCGCCACTTTCGCAAAAGGACACTCTCTAGTAGTAAACCTTACATCTCATATCTTGAAGTATTAAATTGATTTTCTATACACTGTCAATCAACAACATATCATAGTACGACTTTTGAAATAGTTATTATAAAAATTGAAAACATACGATTAAATTGAAAGATAAAAAAAAAACAGTGCAAATGGTCAAGATATAGGTTGGCATGGTAGGAATTATCAAAAACAGAGAGCAACGTTTCCTTTCATCGTCTATCCCCACCTTTTCTGTCTTGAAGATTGAATGTTTTAAATTACTTAAAAAAGAATAAGCATTGAATAGATGTGTTTTTTTTAATACAATTTTTGCTGTCTGTGAGGACTGTGGAGCTGATTTTCTTTCCCTCTTTTCTCCGCTAAGAAATCCAAAGGAAAATGAAGCTGAAAGAAAGAAAAATAGGATAGGACAAGCGATCTCGAACCAAATTCTACAGATTCCAAAAACTGCTGGTGAAACTTCAAACCTTTTCATTAATTCATAACATAATTATCAGTTCATGAACCCTGAGAATATAGCCCCAAGACAACAAGAAAGCAT